GGGGGGGGGGGTAAGGAGGAAGAACAGTGTATTAATGCTATGTGTTCTGACCTCGGAGAAATAATTCAACAAAAAGTTAGAGGAGAAAGAGACAGAGAGAGGAGCTGGATAAGCTCACTGACTGTCATATAATACGTGGGAGGTGCAGATATTACTTTAAGTTGCCAAAACAAACAGGGATATCTAAGTGAACGGAAAGGATAAAGGTGTTACACACATTATTAGCATAAATGTAGCCACGAGCTCAAAAAAATTAAAACCTTCCTAATAAACAGAAGCACTCTAGAAAAAATGGGCCAATAAAACAGAGCACACAGGGAAGGAAATACAATAAACATAATATTTAAATATATGTAATATAAACATAAGATGATCAAGCCAAGACCAAATGTTATCTGTGATATGAATACAAAACGGGCTTACCTCAGCTCTTTAAAAATATTCCAATTGATCCACAAAGCAAAACCCTATTATATGATTAATGGAAAAACATAGTAAAAAAATAAGTAATTCAGAAAAGCTAAAAATAAACGGATAGGCAACTTTACATCATGAGAATACAAACAAGAAGGAGGCAGGGACAGCAATCCCGAGAGCAAACAAGGTAGAATTCAGGCTGAAAAACAGTATATGTGACAGACCTTTAAAACACTAAGAATTTCAATTCACAGTGAATATATAACAGTTGCAAATATATATGAACCAAAAAGAAACATCACTAATAATAGGCACTTTAAATAAAACTCTTCTTATTTCTTTCCATTAGTATCAAGCCTGTAACAGATCCCTCTCCCTCCCTGGTTAGTCAGTGGTTCTCAACTTCTATTGGATATTGAAATCACAGTAGGACCTGTATAAACACTGATGTTGTGGCCTCACACCCAGAGATTCAGGTTTAACTGGTTTTGGATATAGCCGGGCCTAAGAATTTTAAGTTCCACAGATGTTTCTAATGTGCTTAGAAGATTGAAAACCACTGAAATAGATGCACAAGGACTAGAAAGTAGTAAAACTGTCTATCTACAACCAGAAAATATTAACAGTGGAAAGCAAGTAGATAAATCCTTAATAAACTTAACAAATGTACAAAAATTTATGAGAAAAGTAAGTTGAACAAATAAAACCACATTTCTTCATCTTAAATAGGATGTACAGCCCCACATATATTTCAATTGTCCCTAAGATGCTATATAAGTTTAATGTAGTCCCAGTAAACATACTAAAAAGTTTTCCTGGAGCTAGACCAGACAATTCTAACATGCATATAAAAGCAAACATGCATAAGGAGGAAAGTCCAAAAAAAGCAACAGGGTTGACTATAAAACATATTATCAAAACATATTATATATAAAACATGTTATCAAATATATATGTAGAACATATCACATATAAAACATATTATCAAATATATATATATATATAAAACGTATTATCAAAATTCTAAAATTGTGTGGTATTTGTGCATAAATGGACACACTGACCAGGAGAACAGAATAGGAAGTCCAAATGTAGACCCCAAAACATGTAGAAACTGAGTGAGTGATAAAGAAAAACACTGGCTGGGGGCGAAGATGGACTTTACAACAAATGTTCTTGAGACAACTGAAAAATGAGTAATTTTGGACTCCTACCCTACTCCAAACAGACAAGAGATCTAAATGTAAAAACTGACATTTTACTAGTAGAATAAAACATGAGTGAATTTATTTACAACCCGGATGTGGGCAGAGCTTTTCTGAGTATAACTCAACATCCAGCTGCAATTTTAAAAAAGATGAATAAGTTCTACTACATTAAAGAAAGGGTTTGTATTGCAAAATGATGTCAAAAAATAAATGAAAATTTGGAAGAAAACAATTGCAATATGTTTAACAAATAAAAGGCAAATTATCCTATTATAGAGAGAATTCAAAGTGAGAAAGAAAAATAAGCTAATAGGAAGAAAATGGGCAAAATAAATGAACAGGTCACAGAAAAAGTTAGAACAAATGTTCCTTAAACTATGAAGAGACATTCAACTGCCTACTAAAACTGAAATTAAACACATACCAATGTATCAATAACAAGTAACCCTCCTATACCCAGGTTTCTAAATGCTATTGTCCATTAAATGAAACCAGGGATCCTTATTAAAATGGAGGGTTACAGGTTTGGGACAGAAAAAGGGTGAAGCCAAACCTAAACATTGTATCCTAGAAAGAAAGTGCCCTAAGACTAGTGAGGGCCATGCCAGATGGCTTAGGGTGAGCTTGAAGTGGCTGCCATTAGTCACATTTGGGACAATTAGAGCATCAAAAAATAATGCAAGTAAAGGGTTATATAACACTGAATTTTTAAAAATTTATCTATGAATTTATAGGGACACTCAAGAGAGAAAGTGTGAGAGAAGTGGGAAGCTCTTTTTTTCCGGAGAATGCCAACTAATACAGGAGGAAGGACTGACGGAGTTAGTAAACACCACCATTTACAATTCCCGGTGTAGGCACTGACTCAGACAAGGATCATCGATGCACGCTAAGGTGACTGGATATATTTTAGGGGGTGTATTAGTTTTCTATCACTGTTGCAACAAATTACCAACAACTTAGGGGTTTAAAACAACGCAAATTTGTTAACTTACAGTTTTGTTGGTTAGAAGTCAGATATGGGACGGGACTCCCTGGGCTGTAATGAAGGTATCAGCAGATCTGCATTTCTTTCTGGAAGCTGTAAGGGTAAATCTGTTTCCTTACCTTTCCCACATTCCAGAAGATGCCTGCACTCTGATTTCAGGCTCTCTTTTTCCATCTTCAAAGCAAGCAGTGTCCTCTTTCTCTGACCATCCTTCCTCAGCCGCGTCTCCGTCTGGCTGTTTTTACCTTCACCTTCCACTTTTAAGGACGCTTGTGATTACATTGGGCCCACCTGGATAATGCAGGATAATTTATATTCAGGCCAGCTGGTTAACAAACTTAATTCTATCTGCTACTTTCATTCCCCTTAGCCATCCCTTAACCTAACATATGCATATCTGAGGGGGTATTGGGAGTGGGGGTAGGGTTGGGGGTGGAGGTCTGTCTACCACAGGAGGGAAGGAAATTTGCATGCTCTTGAAGTTCTATACCTCTGTTCACTCATTGATTGTATATAAAGGAACAAAAGGCACCTTATAAGAGAGATCCAGCTGAATTGAGGGCCCAAATGTAGCCTCACCAACAACGAGGCAAAGGGCCATTATGAGAAATGAATGTAAAGCAATAGAAAGAACATTAACTCACCTATGTAGTGTTTTGTAAAAAATATGTAGTCTTGCCCAGCCTGCATGGCTCAGCAGTTGAGCATCGACCTATGATCCAGGGGATCACGGTTAGATTCCCGGGCGGGGCACATGCCCGGATTTCAGGCTTGATCCCCAGCAGGGGGCATGCAGGAGGCAGCCCATCATTGACTCATCTTTGATGTTTTTCTCTCTCTCTCTCCCTCCCTCTCCTTTCCTCCCTCTGAAATCAATAAAAATATATTAAGCAAAAATATGTAATCTTAATTTAAACACGAGGAAATAAATCAACAAACCCAGGCTGTGAGACATTCTACAAACAAATGGCCTGGATTCTTCAAAAGTTTCAATGGCATGAAAGAGAAAAATAGCAAGTGAACTTCTAGAGATGAGAGACCAAAAAAGATGTGACTGTGAAATGCACTGAGTTATCTTTGAGTGGATCCTGGAATAAAGGTAAAAATCAGCACAAGGACTATTTTTAGAGAATTAGAGAATTCTAAGTATGGTGTGTTTAATATGCAAAATTAATTTATCCATATTAGATACTTAGGTACGATCGTGATATTGTGGTTATGTGAGAGTGCTGTTGTTCCGAAGAGAGTAGTTAGAAATAGAACATCATGATATCTTCAGCTTGATTTCAAATAGTTCAGCAGAAAAAGGAGGGTCAGATGTGCATGGGAGGGTATGTAGAGAAAAAGAAATAGGAAAAAGTGAATTTAAAAAATGTTAACATTTGGTAAAATATTGACATTTGGTGCAAGGTTAACTTCAGTGACTAGTTTCTTGCTTACGCTCACCATGTGGATGGTTGGTTTCACAACGGGGCATCAGCCATCATTTAACCTTTTTTGAACATTTTACCAAATAGGCCAATTATTAAACCTTAAATCTTCTGAAAACCTAATATTTTTCCTTCTATATATTTTTGAATTTTATATCTATTTCCAAATTGCTTAAGTTGGCTTCAATGCTTTACAACTTAGACCTTAATTATTTGCCTACCATGAACTTATCTAGTTAGAAAATGTTTTCTCTTTCCTTCTTTTAAGACTTTGTTGAAGCTCATCTCCCCTATTAACAATCATGAAGGTGGACACAGTAAGTTATCTCCTCTTTCATACTTAATGAAATGTCTTCTTTCCTCAACCCAGGTAAAGAAAGGCCCTGTAGTTTCTCTCATGGCTCCAAATGTACAGGTTTGATGACTTGTCTGTAAACTCTGTACCATAAAAGAAGAGACCCTTTCTTTTTTTTAAAAATCCTCACCTAAGGATGTTTTGATTGCTTTTTAGAGAGAGAGGGAGAGAGATAGAGAGAGAAACATCCATGTGAGAGAGAAAAAACAATCGGTTGCCTCCCACACACGCCCGGGCTGGGGATGTTCCCTGACGGGGAATCGAACCTGAAACCTTTTTTGGTGTATGGGACGACCAAAACCCAACTGAGCCACCTGGCCACAGCAAGGCCCTTCCTGGACCTAAATACCTTCAACCGTATTGTGGATATTTCACAGATGTTAGATAAACATAAAGGGAATTTTTCTAAGTCATATTTTCACGCATCCTCTAGAATAAAAGCCTTTCAAACCAACTCTTTATCTTTCTTTGAGAGTGTAACTTTGATTTTTAAACAGCAAAAGTGAGACTAAGCAGAAGGGACAAAACACAGGAGCTTGTACCCTTCCAAAGCCAGTAGAAAGGTTTGAAAAGCTGTTCTCTACCATTCACGGCTGTTTTTCTTACAGTAATTGCCTTGTGGTTCTAGTTTTCTAGCTGCACAGCTCCTTACTATTCCAGATGATACACAACTGGATTTGGGAGAACTTTTTATTAAAATGCCCTTAAGTCATAAAAGGGTACTTTGAAGTAGAACAGTAGGCAGCTGCTTCAGTAAGTTGAAGATCAAAGATGTTGCTATCCCTGTGGCCAAAGGGAACGAAACCTTGATTTTCGCGCAGAAGTGTTTGGGGAAGAAATGATTTCATGCTGATAAAAGCAAGCTGGAAATGGACCTAGAAGGCTGTGGACTTATCTCCTTTACTACATACACGGCTCCGGTATTTCTCCAACAGCCTATCAGACCTTCTTTGAATCAGTCTTTTAAAATGTAAAACCCTTTCTTCAATTCACCACCTATTTTCTCTCCTCCACAGCCGGCCCCTTATCTTTGCCCTTGAAAGAGAACCTGCTGAGCTGCCCTCTTGCACGCAAGCCCTCCGGGCGAGTGTGTGCCAGGTCTTGCTCTCCCGGCCCTTGTTCTGACACAGCCTACCCCACATTAGACTATTTTTCCTCATTATTTTCCCATTCGTGCTTTGTGAAAGCCAGCAACAGGGCTTCAGAATAAAAATGCTCGCAGCAGCCACCGCAAGAAGCTGAGTGGCATCAACTTTTGAGACAGACTGTTGACTAGCCATTTGCTTTGTACTCCGGAGGTTACTGGCTAGTGAGTGAAACTGAACCAGTTTGACATCTCATGATCATACAGTTCCTGGGCTTTCCTGAATTCTGAAGCAAAATGGTCAGTTGATCTCAGTGAGTATATAGTATTAAGGCAGGCAGAAGGGTGGGGAGGCGAGACCGGCCATAACCTGGCCTGGTACCAATGGATCAGCATCTGTCCCAGTAAACCTTCTGGGAGGACCCGAGAAAGAAAATCTGCACAGAGCAAAGCCTCCGTCTTGAGGCTTCTAGTAAAGGCCCAGTTTGTGCTTAATAATGTACCCATAACATTATTTGATATTCAACTCACATTCAAGTACGGTTACCAAACCATGAGAGAGAGAGTTTAGATCTGAGGATAACCCACTTTGTATTCTCTTTCAGAACTAATGGCGAGTGTAGCCTAAGGAGCCATTTCTTTTGACTTTTTAAGAATTCCCACAACTACCCGAAGATCATATGGAGATGCCTGAATCGCTCAACAGAGCCCAAAGCCAGTATCATGTACTCCATGCCCAACAGATGAGTGGATATATATGTATATATCAGAAAAGTCAGTGAGCCTGGCACTGAACACAAGTGTGCCCTCAAACCTCCCTGTAAAACTTTGCATGAGAGGGCAGTCTGAGAGTTTATGATTATTTCCTAGAAGAGGAATGAATTCTACATGTAAGCACTCTCATGAAACAGATTTCAACATATAACATGAATCTCTATAGTAAGTAGACTTTTCCCTTTTTACGTAATTTTCCCCAAATGCTTTAAATTAAAAAAAAATAAAAATTAAATGGCATAGAGACAATGAAGCCATAAAGATACATCTGGTCAAATGAATATTTCCAACCACACATTAACTATGCACAAGGGTACATTTTTATATGCTCATATATACAATGTTTCATATTTAAAAGCTCATTTTCTCCTGGCATTGTCTCCTGCCTCTACCCCGAGTAAACAAATGTGTTTGAGGACAAAGAATTCTAGTTAGACTATACTCCTTCACAAAACAGGCTGAAAATGGTGCCATCCTACTGAAGGCTTTGTGGTTCTTAGCTCATTGTGAAGTGAATGGTCTGGACCAAACTGGCAATCTTCTGGCAACCACTCCTGTCTAATATAACAGCAGCTGGAAGATAGGGCTCTGCACTAAAGAACGAGGAGAGTGCTTTTAATATCTAATTTAAATAAAGGTTGATGTGAGCCTTTTGAAAAAATTGGAACATTTAAATTTAGAATGCACTTTTTGGGAAAAGGCAATGAAAACACCTTGTGTTCACAAAATGATGCTTTCTTCTTTCGTTTTTGTGTGAGACTGATAATGATAGTGACACATCTTGCTTCCAGGAAGTTAGCCACAGGAAGGAACAAGGTAATCAGGAATGGTGTCGGGATCACTCCTTCTCCTTTTTAATATATAGACTACTTTTTAAAGCAGTTTTAGGTTCACAGCAAAAGTGAGTGGAGCCCGGCCAGGCGCGGCTCAGCGATTGAGCATTGACCTGGGATCCAGGAGATCGCGGTTCGATTCCCGGTGGGGTCACATGCCCGGGTTGCCGGCTCGATCCCCAGTCGGGGGCGTGCACGAGGCAGCCGATCAACGACGATTCTCTCATCATTGATGTTTCTGTCTGTCTGTCTCTCTCCCTCTCCTTTCCTCTCTGAAGTCAATAAAGATATATCTTTTTAAAAAGTGAGTGGAAAGTACATCACTTACGCAGTCCCCCCCATGCACAGCCACCCCTGCTACAAACATTCATCAGAATGAAAAATTTGTTAGCCGACTAACCTACATTAACACGAAATTGTGATCCAAAGTCCATTGTTTACATGAGAGTTCACTCTTGATCATTCTATGGGTTTTGACAAGGGTATAATACCATGCGTCCACTATTACAGCATCACACAGAGTAGTTTCACTGCTCTAAAAATTCCCTGTGCTCTGCCTCTTCATCCCTCCCTCTGATCTTTTTATTGTTTCCATAGTTTTGCCTCTTCCAGAGTGTCATATAGTTGGAAGCGTACAGTTGGAAGCTTTTTCGTATTGACTTCTTTTGCTTAGCAATATACATTTAAGTCTTTTCATGACTGGATAGATCAGTTCTTATGAGAGCTGAATAATATCCCATGGTGTACCAACAGTTCGCTTAACTACTGACCTATTGAAGGGCATCTCGGTTGCTTCCGAGTTTGGACAATTTTGAATAAAGTGGCTGTAAATATTTGAGTACAGGTTTCTGTGTGGATGTAAGTATTCAACTCATTTGTGTAAATATCAAGGAACATGATTGCTGGATTGTATGGTCTGTTTAGTTATGTAAAAAACTGTCAAACTTTCTTCCAGAGCAGCTGTACTATTTTTCATTCCTACAAATATGAATGAGCGTCTGTTGTTCCACATCTTCTTCAGCATCCGGTGTTGTCAGTGTTTTGGATTTTAACCATTTTAATAAATTTCTACTGGCATCTCATTGTTTTAATTTCCAAGTCCCTAATAATAAGATGTTGGGCATCTTTTCATATACTTATTGCCATTTGTGTATCATTGATAAGGTGTCTGTTCAGACCTTTTACCCATTTTTAAATGGGGTTGTTCCTTTTCTTCCTGTTTAGCTTTAAGAGATCTTTGTATATTTGGGGTAGCAGTTCTTTATCAGGTGTCTTTTGAAAATATTTTTCACCTAGTCATCGGCTTATCTTTTCATTCTCTTAACTATAGCTCCTTTTTAAAGTTTTATTTTTCTTCATCATTTGACCAGGGGCACTAAAAAGAATGTTTAAATACTTACAACTCCAGTTCATTGCGGTGATTCTATCTGAACAACATAGGAAGTATGAGCGTCTACTGTGTGGGTGCTGAGTAACACTAAGTCATTGTGCCCGATACTCTATTGGAATGATGTGGCTAAAAGATCTTTTTGTAATTTATTAAACTCTTCCCGGGAGAAATAAAGGGAGAAGATGGCATTTCCCCATTTGACAGATGGGAACTTAGATATCCAGAAATTAAATATATCTCCTGACCTTTACTTAATAAGTGAGCAACCAAAGTAATTATTAGCTACTTTCCTTCTACCAGGGTGGGGGGGGTGTGTGTGTGTGTGTGTGTGTGTGTGGTTGTATATGAATTTTAGAATCCTTTTTTCTATTTCTGTGAAAAATGACATGGAATTTAGATAGAGATTGCATTGAATCTGTAGATCCCTTTGAGCAGTATGGACATTTTAACAATATTAAGTCTTCCAATCCAGGATCATGGAATATCTTCCCATTTATGTGTGTCTTCCTCAAGTTCTTTCATCAGTGCCTTATAGTTTTCAGGGTAGAGATCTTTCACCTCCTTAGTTAAATATATTTCTAGGTATTTTATTCCTATCTTTTATGTCAAGTACTAGTACTTCAGCAAACAAGGCAGAAGCACTATTGTCTTTTATGACCTACCCTCAGAAATCATTCACTGCCACGTCCATCCATTCCATTGGTTATGAACAATCACAGCCTGATGAGTTTAAGGGAGAAGGTAGTTGGAATCCACCTCTTTATAGGAAGTGGTAAGATTTTAAAAGAGAATGTGGGGTGGGGTCTCTTTTTGTGGCCACCTTTTGAAAATATAATCTTCCACAGACATATTTTGGTTAAGGACCATGATTTTGCTATAATAATTTTGTGATGCTAAACC